TGCATGAACCTACAATGGCTTAAACAGTGTTGGAAGGAAAAGCCGCGCATGAGCCTACAAAGGCTTAAGCAGTGTTGGAAGAAAAGCCGTGCTTGAGCCTAGAAAAGCTTCAACGTTGTTGGAAAGAACAGCTTGTCGCATGAGCCTGCAAAGGCTGTAAAGCATGAGCCATGACTGATCCTGTGAACGCTTTGAAAAGATGCCATGAATGAGCCTGCAAGGCTTGGAGTACGCAGCAGGAAAGGTTAGGAATGCCATCACCTCATGAGCTTGAACAAGCTTCAAATATATTCTCTCATGGATGAGCCTGCAAGGATAGGCTGACAAGATTCTGACCAGCAATCATGCCAGAGAAGCTCGTTTCAATCTAAAGCGCCAGGAGGAAGCAGAAACTTCAAAGTACAGCACGACAGGTATGCCAAGGCTGCTTGCAACCCTGCAACACTCAATGTTGCCAACCCATCAAGCAGAAATCGGCCCAGCCAGGCTTTCCCAGCCCCCGCATCACACTGTCTTTCCCTTGGGCGCTTTCTTGCCCTTCTTGGATTTGGACTGCTTCCTTTCGGCCATATAAGCTAGCCACGCTGCCCTGCCATGGCAACGAACACCACCATATGCTGGTGATATGCAAGTACTGCACCCACGGATGTTGCCCCGGCATCTGAGGCAACCCAAGCCCCCTTGATACACTGCCACTGGCTTGCTCTTAGGTGCAGGCTTCATCTTAGCCTTCTTCTGCACCGGCTTCTTTGACAGAATGTCCACGGTCTGTTTGGAAGCAGGTCTTTTCATGAGACCACGACCTGCTTGCTTTTTTTCTCGAGCTTGGCAAAAGCATCTTCTTCCCAATCTTCCAAGGTTCTTTCATTGTTTTCCAGAGCAGCTTGCGGCTGTGTCTGCGGTAGAGTAGCAAGTAGATTGTTGGAAGGTGCAGCAGGCACATTAGCAGCCTCACTTGCTTTCGTGACAGGTGCCACAGCAGTGTGTGCTGTTGGCGTGGTCATAGTCAAGTGGGATCCATTTTCCAAAGGCATCCTTGCACCACGCTGCTCGCCACTGCTGCAAGACAAAGTGTCAACACTTCCCTGCTTGGAAAAGAGATGGCTCTGCGGATGCATGTGCAAGACTGTATCCAAAGTCCCAGCAAGTATCGAATTGCTTCTGTTGATGAAATTTTCCAGCAAAGCCTTGAGGTTTCCAGTCGGCTGCTGCAGAACTCCTTCCTGGGGTCCCACACTTACAACTTCCATCTTCGTGCCAGCAGAAGGGGTGCCTCTGAGAGAAAAACCGGTGCTTCGCACGTGATTGTCCTTCATGACAGTCGCCAGCCAGGCCCACAAATTGACACCCCACTGGCTTCTCTTCTGGGTAAGCTGATTGAAAATGTTTGGGACTCAGGCCTGCTGGATCCGCGGGGTACACCTTCAGAGGGAGACACTCAGGAGGATTGGGTGTCGCAGAGTTCGCAAACGTAGTTCGCACATGTTGAGAGAGTCTGTAGAAGCAGTCTCCTTCGGGTCTTCTGCCTCCCCTCTGCATGTCAAAGCATATCAGCAAGGCGGTCATGACCTTCTTCGTGCTTTCTTTCAAGCTTTTGACCCCTACCAGCTTGCACCTGGAGGCGAGAACACATGCTCCTTCAAAAGGATTGCAATTTTCCAGCTTGGTGATTTCTGATTGTGTCAAGTAGGCTGAGCCTGAGTTGTCACTATCAAGGCGGACTGCGCAGATCCCAAAGCTTTTGTGTCCAAAACGGACTGGAGGCTCGTTTGCAGGCATTGTGGCAAGTCACATGCCTTGACAAGGTCATAGCAAGCAACCACATCAGCTGTAGACAAACTCATATGCTCCAGCTTGTGCTTGAGGCTCGCCCCCAAACCTTCCAGAAGCTGCGGTTCACCAAGTCTTGCCTTCAACAAAGTACTGGTAGCGTTGACTTCCAACTGGAAGTCACTCAAAGACCACATGCTGGCAAGGGTCGTGCTGTCGCTTCTGGAGGGCTGAAAACTGGTGCCAAAATGGCGAATGCAAATTGCTAAGTGGAGAGTGGAGATGGCAATTCGTTGTGTGCAAAGAGCGAGCCAAGCAAGGAAACAAACCATGAGCCTGCATAGGCCAGCATTTCCGCGTCGTCAAACAGCAGCCTGCAAAGATTGAATGCCCTCATGAGAACATGAGCCTGAAAAGGCTGAAGCGAGTCGTGCCAACGAACAGGCTGGAAAGGTTCAAATCAGCGGAACATGAGCCTACAAAGGCCGACGCACATGGTATGAATGAGCCTGCTAAGGCTTAAGTACGCTCAATAGATGATGAGCCCCTGAAGGCTGACTTTAGCTGAATTATGGAGAAAAGAACATGAGCCTGCGAAGGCTGACGCATATCATGCCAAACAGGAGCCTTGTAAGTCTACAGTCTGCCATGCCAAGATGAGCCTCCAAAGGCTAAACTACTCTAGTTGGCCGCCATGTTTGTTTCTGCGAACTGATGAAGGAAATCCACTCATGCCTTGTTGCACAAATAGGAAAGCTTAATTTTCTTCCAAACCTGGCTCACATTCCTTCCTCTTCCTCGAAGACGAGCTGGCCACACCTTCCTCACATTGTTCTTGTTCTTCAAGAAGGCTTGTGTCTGACATGGAGGCATCCTGGACGGAAGGCATGTTGATGGAATGGGCATCCAACAATCCCCTGTCCTTGAGGTATTTGATCCAACGTGGGCATTCCAAGGCATACGTCGTAGGCTGTCCATGATCATAGACCACGACAATAGCATTTTGGTCTCCGTCCAAAATGAGGCCATCACTAAAACGCAATGGATTCACCTCCATGGCGATGAAGACACAGATGCAGGGGAATTGCAGACAGCAGTGCCGATGCTGCTGTCAAAAGCTGGGCCAGCTGAACTGACAGCAGGAGACGTAGCAAGTTTGGGTTTGTAAGGAAAGAATGCTAGGGAAAGATGCCACTGAAAATTAAAAACAGATGGCAAAATCATTATCGAAACCGTTATGAATATGAATCATGGGCTTATAGCAAAATAAATAAATAAATAAATAATATATATATATATATATAAATTTTGGATTCAGATATCTGAATCGAAATTATGAAATAGCATTTTGGATTCAGATATCTGAACCGAAAATTTTAACCAAGCAATTTGGATTCAGATATCTGAATCGAAATTGTGAAATAAGCATTTTGGATTCAGATATCTGAATCGAAATTTTGAAATAAGCATTTTGGATTCAGATATCTGAATCGAAATTTTTAATCAAGCAATTTGGACTCAGATATCTGAATCCAAAATTTTAAGTAAGCATTTTTAATTCAGACGTTTGAATCGAAAATTCTTATTCGATGCAAGCTATCGTTGCACATTGCTCCAAGAAAAGCTGAAGCAAATGAGCCTACCAAGGCTAACAACATTAGACAGGAAAGGCCATGTGTGAGCCTATCGAGGCTGATCGAACATGCATGAGCTTGTAAAGGCTGACGTGCATGCCAGGGAAGTTCAACAGGCAAAGCAAAGTGTGAGCCTACTGAGGCTGGTCGAACATGCATGAGCCTGTAAAGGCTGACATGACAGCACAAGCATGAGCCTTAACAGGCTAGTTTTACTTGAAGGACGCTTTTATTTTTTCTGGGCCGCTGCTGGGCTGCTGATCAATGCTTGTTACCGCCAGGGTAGATGGAAGCCTTGCCATCATACTTATTGTCCTTGCCATGGTTCAGCAAGTTCTCCAGGTGCTTATCCACTTGCTCCGTCATGTCTTTAGAGTGCCAGTAGTAGTTCTGGCAAAGCTCCATGGCGTGCTCCATATTTCCACTCATCAAGGCTCCCAGCAAGGGGACCATCTTGTGGAACCATCCCGACGGATTCATCTTTGGGGGCATGATCTTTTTCTCGCATTCGGACTGCACCACAGGAGCTGGAGGAGGATTCACCTTCCAAGAGCCAGTAGCAGCCTGGCACCAGCCTGTCTCCTCTTCCTTGCGCGAGTTCCACTTTTCAGAAGCACCATGTTGCCAGCTCTTATCCCAGGAGTCCTCCAACCACGAGGTCCACTCTGCAGAAGCGACATGGGGCAAGCTCTTATCTGGCAATTCCTCTGACGCCTCTTCCTTGCAGATGTAGCCAGCTTCCATGGCTGCTTGGCAATCCTCTGCATTCTGATTCTCCCAGTATGCTTCCTCCTCAGCAGTGGCTCGGAAAGGACCAGCTGCAGCTGGCTCTTCGTGGTAAGGGTCAGGCCACCAGTTATCGTACCCACACCACTCTGGCTCTGCTCCTTCTGCACCTTCTGTGGCAGCTGCATTTTCAGGTTTATCGGATAAACCTGATTCGACGGGGTCGGAGGACAGCATCTGAGTGAAGGTACCAACGTCATCTGCACCATCTACAGTGCAGCTTGGTGCCTGCAGGGATGATCAATAGTCAATAGTGGGTGATGGGTCTTGCAACTTTGAACTGCCCTGCCTCGACAGAAGTGGTAGAGCCTCTTCCATCCCCAATCCTCCTAGGGTACTTACCGGCTTTTCCCTTGAAGACCCAGTCCAACGCTCTTTTCATTGGGATGGCTTCACAGAGCTTGGGCCACACCCTGTGCAAAAAGTAGATGGGCTTGGAAGCAAGATCATGACTCTGGGAAGGTAGAGGCTTACAAAGCATGTCTTGCATGAGCCTGCAAAGGCTGAAACCAAAGGCAGCTGAAAATATGTTTGCAGCGTACGAGTTTGCACGAGCTTTGAAAACATGTCTTGCATGAGCCTGCCAAGGCTGACAAACAAATGCAAAAGGACATGTTTGTATGAGCTTGCGCAGACTGAGACAGCATATCTTGCATGAGCCTGAAAAAGCTTATATAAAGAACATGAGCCTGCAAGGCTGATCCCACACATGAGCCTGCAAGGCTGATAAGACCATGCTAGACATGAGCCTTCCTAGGCTTACGCTTAGCCACTGGTACAAGAAAACATTTTGTCCATTCCCCCAAGCTCTCAGTCTTCGTGCTCCACATTGGCAGCTTCTGACTTTGGAATCTCATTGAAAATTTTCGTACAGTCAGGCTTCAAGAACAAAAACGCTGCAGATAGTTGGTTTGGATCCAACTCGATCTGCAAATCACTCAAAGTGGCCCTCTTAGCTGCAGCCAAGACATGCACCTCGGTGCCATGGACATCAATTGTGATGGCTGCAGCGTCCAGCCTCATTTTTTTCTTTGGCTGTTCCACTTCCTTCTCTTCGTCAAACATAGACTCTTGTGCTTCCAATTCGCCATGGCCATGAGCTTTCAAAGCCGCTTGTCTCTTGGCTTTCAATTCTTTCAATTTCTCACTGCCAACAAAAGTAGGGTTCTTGCCAAGCTTGCACATGGAACCACAAAGTAAATTGCATATTTCTCTCGAAGTGGGCCTCAGCCTCAACCACGTCTTGCCCAAGGACTCTTCCAGCAGACTTTTCGGGATTGCTTGCTTCTTGCCATTGTCGAACTGTATGGTCACCTGGCGGTCAATAGTCACAGAGCCAGCCATGTCAAAATTAGGGGAACAGAAAGTTTGAGCCTGCTTTCAGAAGGAAAGAAAAGACGGTCAGAGAAATGAAGAAAACATGTTGTATGAGCTGCGAAGGCTGAATACGAATGCCATTGAAAATGTATGTATGAGCCTGCAGAGGCTTAGAAAGTATCTTGCATAAGCGTAGACTGAGAAGAATGCCACGATGGATATATGTATGAGCCTGCAGAGGCTTAGAAAGCATGCTTTGCATGAGCCTGCGGAGGCTAACAACAAATGAGACAAAACACACACACACATATATATATATATATATATATGAGCCTTCACAGGCTGAGCAAAAATGTCCTGCATGAGCCTGCAGAGGCTGAGCAAAAGTGTCTTGCATGAGCCTCCAAAGGGTTAAAGCAGCTGTGAGCCTGTGAGGCTGATAAGACATCATCTTGAGTGTGAAGAGGCTTACTGTCTTAAGTCTCTGCTTTTTTTGCTAGCCCATTGCCAAATCTCACTTTTTTACTTTAGACTTCCTGCGAGCTGCTGGCAAAGGCTCCAAGAGCAACTCTGTTCCTTCGTCAATCTGCCGCTTGTTCTTGTACACAGGGATTGTCATCTTTTCATGTTTCACTTGCACCTTTTCCATGTTTCCAGCAGACTCGTTGCCATCATCAGCATGTTTCAGAAGATGAAAAGGCACAAAGGACCCACTGCCTTTCTTGAAGTCAGCTTTTGGTGGTGCCACTACAAACGTCTCCGTCCTTCCTTGCACTTGCAGCACACAAGCATTTTTGGCCATTTTGGACATGTCACAAATTTGCACGGAGCCAAATGGCGCCAACTTCAAGCTTCCTTTCATGGTCTTCCTGGCATACAAACTGCCTGTGTTCGAGATGGTGACATCTGGTTCACCCTGCTTCTCGTAGAATTCATACACTCCCACCTGGCATTGAGCCTTCGCAAGCAAGACATCAAGCTGTTGGGATTTCAAAGGCAGCATGTTCTCCAGTCTCCAGTTTTCCATCGTCTACAAGCTCAGGCTCTTTCAGGGTACACACCTTCCAATCTTTCAAATCTGATAGCTTCACAACTGCTTCTTCAAGAGATCCAAACAAAGGCTGGTGAGTAAATTTTCCTGCTCAGGAATCAATGGCGACAAACTTCCAGATCTTGCGGTGGTCATCCTTGTGCACATAGAGCTTTCCAATTGCCAAGTGCTTGTGGCTTTCCAGCGCGATGTGAGATGCACTTGCTGCGTCCTGCTCCCAACAAACTCACATCGAAAAAAAAACACATGCCCTGGCAAACATGAGCTCGCAAAGACTGAAGGCTGCCAGAAAAGCTTTCCAAACTTGGCAACATGCCATGCCAAACATGAGCCTGCAGAGGCTGAGAAGTTGTCAGTCCAAGATTGAGCCTGCAAAGGCGAGAACCTGCTATGCCCAGAATGAGCCTGCAAAGGCTGAAACGTGCCATGCCCAAACAGAAGCCTGCACAGGCTAACAACCATGCCAAGCATGAGCCTGCAGAGGCTAAGAGCATGTACACTTCTCTTGTCTGGAACCTTCAAAGAGACAACAGCTTCAGCTTAGGTAGTGGCAGGTACAGCTTGAGCAGGTTGAGCTGGGTTCGGTGCTCTGTTCGGGTTCTGCAAAGACGACAATTCTTCAACGAAGGTGTCATTGACTTCTTGCAGGTTATTGTAAACCTTCTGCTCGCGACCCTTGCCTGATTTGTTCGTCAGGACCAGAACTACTCTCACCAGCAGCCTGCCCATCAGAGTGATGCCTTTCTTGTCTGTCTGCAAATGCCCTTGGCACAAGGTCTCCCATGCCAAAGAACACAAGTCTTCACCCTTTTTCACATCTGCTCTGATTTTCGCATGCTTCAATTTGTCCAAGTCGCTCTTCACCAAGAACTTGGATATCGAATCCACTGACCTGGGGCTGGTGCAGTTTGCTGCTAAACACCCGGCTCTCAGCCAAACGAACGTTGTGTCTGGATCTTTGAAATCCAGAAATGTCACATGGTCCATGAACTCCTCGCCAATGCAAGCATTGCTGCCATAGAGCTTCGAAATGCCATCCAACACTTTCATGACAGGGAAATCTTCACCTCCACCGTACAATCTCACATAGGACCCAATGGTTTCCATGTAGTGAGAGCAAGCAGGTTGAGATGCCACAGTCAATTTGACTGCTTCTGCCATGTCCTTGCATTGGTTGAACCAGAAAGCGACCTGCATGGCAGCCTCAATTTCGTTCATGTGGCTAGCCAAGGGATGCGAAGAATTTTGAGCTTGTTGTATCAATGCAGGAAGATCACTAAATTCTTGCTCCACCTCCTGCCTGATGATTTTCCAAGTCCACCCAAGTGAATGGGTGCTCATCGCAACAGAGCTTCAAGCGAAAGCTGGCCATTTGGGCACATCTCCAGCAAACCAGGATCATCGGTCGCACATCCCTGTGCCACACTCTTGACAAACGAGACAGTGTGGCTTCCAGAAACGGACAAATACCTTTCAGTGAAGCGAACCTTGGCTAGCTTGCCACCGCTTTGCTCCTGCAAATCTTGGTTGGCTTGGAACTGCTGAGACCTGGTGGCTGCTGTTGCAGCGACTTCAAAGCAAATGCCATCTAATCTGCTGAGGTCTGCCCCTGTTTTCAGCATCTTGCAACCTTTGGCATGCACTTCGGCTGGCAAGCACATTTTTCCAGCCCGGTTCTGCGGGTGTATCAGAATGTCATTGCAATTCGGTTGGGCTTCATAGAGCAAACCATGTTCCTTCAGAATCGCCATGATTCTGTTTACTTTCACATTCAGTTCCAACTGTTCATCTTTCTAGCACCAACTTCGCCACTTTAGGGTCCATGCTACCGTGCTGGCTGGATTAAAGAAATTTTCAAAGCTCCAAGAAGTGACACATTGCCTGCTCTTGTTGCATGCTAGGGAAAGGGACGCGTTTGTTCTGTGGTGATTTCTGGGCTGCAACTCCTTGAGAAAATAGTTCAAACAAAAGACAGCAAGCTAACATGCATGAGCCTTCAAAGGCTGAAGTTCAGAATGAAGAACAACACATGACCCTGCTTCAGGCTTACAAGCATGTCACTATGCAACAGATGAACATGAGCCTGCAAAGGCTTAAACATGACCCTGCACAGGGTGATGGCCAACCATGAGCTTACAAGTTTTAGTTTTGGAAACTTTTGACAGTACCTACCAACATGAGCTTGCCTAGGCTACCAAACAAAGCTTCCAGAGGCTTGTCAAAAAAAAGGGAAGGAATACCAAGACTATGCTGATAGATTTTTCTAACAAGCGCGCATTTTTTCTTTAAAAAACAAACGGCTATGAATGTTAGCTTTATGCTGATCTGTGTTTGGGTCTCAACATCGTTTTTTTCTTCTTCTTCCAAAACCTTGCAGGTATGCATGTTAACATCCACGGCAACTGTTTTTTGTTCTTCTAAAGCTCCTCTAAGAGTTCATAATGTGAAAAACTAAAGGTCATAAAGTTTAGCTAATTGTGCTAAAATTGTTAATAAACATTAGCTAACAAGAATATATTTTAAGAACTTTAAAGCAAATAGATAAAAATAACATAAGTGATGTAACTACTTGAAAGTTTTACGCCAAATATAACTAGTTATAACCAATTATCAATGAGCTAAGAATTGTTTATTATTTAGTTATGTAAAGGTGCTAACGTCTGCAACCCACTAGCACCCACACAGCTGATCTAAGTGGGTTCCAGGACATCCTTGTGCTTGAAGCCCTGCAAGATGACTCTTGCGTGAGGTTGATTCTCCTTGTACCTCAGCAGGAATCGCATTGGGACAATCGTTCCCTTGGGGCACTTTGACCGAGAGATTGGTCGCCATGCGTCATTTTCAGCCCCGGGAACCAATGCTTTCCTTTTGGCCTCAGCGAAGGCTTTCTTTTCATCGCGGCCCAAACGACTTTCCACCACAGCCTGAAGAATTTCTTCTTCAGTGATCTCAGCAAGATGAACTTCTTCTGTCTTCCCTTGCTTGGGTTGAGATTGCCCGTCAGCTTGACGTCGTGGAAGTCCATCCAGGCGCCGATTGTGTTCGTCAGAAACTCGGCTTGCAGTTCTCACTGCTTGCTCCAGATGTCTTCGTTCTCGTGCCCGGTCAGTATCGCTTTCTTGTTCAGGTCCAGGGCACTCTCGACAATCTCATGGTGGGGATCCAAGAAATTCGGGTTGATCGAAGTCAGCATGCCCCGAATCTGTTGCTGCTCTTGACTGATCTCGAAGTCCATCGGTTGATCGTCAAGTCATCCCGGCTCAGCAGGAGGTTCTGCCCCAAGTCCAGAGGGTGAAATCTTCTCCTTTGGCTGAGATGGGAACTTGGCAGCTTTGCCCTTGAGCGGGTTCGGCAGTTTCTTCTTGGCAGAGGCCTTCTTGCCCTTGCTCTCCTTTGACTCGGCCGGTGCGGCCAGATCAGGTGTTGATCAGGAGAGTCGTCGTTGATGACGGGTGTTGTGGTTCATGCGGGGGAACTAAAAGAGCACCATCTGAAGTGTGAATGGAAGAGCCACCCCCACAAAGAGGGAAAATCATCAGGAGTTTGAGCACGGGATGCCAAGTCCAATCCACGTACTGGGCCTCGCACAGGTCTGAGAGCAGCCAGGATGCGCTCATTTTCCGCTCCTGGTTTGGCTTGTCTCTCATAGCATTCAGGCACCGTCTCATGACGGAGTTGTTGTTTTGTCGCCCGAACCAGTGAACTGCCATGAACCACCCAGTAGATCATCGTCGCTTTGTCGATGCTGGCCTCAACTGCAATGACCAAAGCAGGTCCTCGCCACCGGAAGGGGTCAAGTTTTTGAGTTTGAGGCTTCCAGTATAAAACCCAGTCACCGACAAAGAGTTCATCTTGGCAGCAGCTCGTAGAGCAAGGTCTTGATTCGCCTTGTGGAAGGCGATGGCAGCTTTCTGCTTGGTCTCGAGAATGCGCGGCAAGTCCGCTTGATCGCCGAATGATTCTGGGCCAGGGTCATCCATGAATCTTGGTTCCTTTTCGTCGGGGGGGGGGTCTTGCAGGGGATTTTATAGCCAGGAATTGAGGGGGTAGGCGCATAGGTTTTGAAAGAACATAGTGAAAAACAAAAACCATCACCCACCAGTTGGCCTCTATAACATGAGTTGCCTTGACGCCCCATACCAGGAAAGCAGAAACATAGAGCTTGGCTATAAAATCACCAAAAAAAACTGGTTTCTATAAAATCACCTGGCTGGACGGCAGGGAAAAAACGGTTTATGGTGAGCCTTGACCCCCTCCATTTTACAGAGGAAAAAGGGTCAGAGATATCCATGACACCACCCTCAGAAGGCACATAGCCAAAATCAAAAGCGGCAGGCGTAGCACCCTTGACTGAGCTCAGCCTGTTGCGCTGGTGCGCGGTGACCAGCAAAGCTTTCTCAAAAGTGCAATCGGGCAGCTCAGCTTTGAAGGTTTCAAGCGTTTTACGCCTCACAGCGTGGTTGCGCTCCAGGATGCCCAATCGGTGGTGTGCTCCTGTGGGAATGAGTTCCATCTTGATGCCATGATTGGATGCCCACTCAGCGTAGGTTTCACTTTGATGTGGACCAGAGGCGTCCAGTCTCAGAACTTTCGGGTAGCCATAGTTCTTGGCCCATGTGGGCTGGAACAGTCCAATTTCCATTTCAGCATTCTCATCCTTGATCTCGCAGTCGATCTCATAGCCACTGAACTCATCCAGCATGGTGAAGACAGCCCGTTTCTCCTTGTCCCACTCAATGTAGAACGTGTCAATGGCCACAGTTCGGTTGAAGTGTGGAGCTTTGTGAAGCGCAGATTTCGGTTAGCTTTTGCAATACATTGTGGGCACTTGTAGCGTCAGCCAAGACCAGCTTGGCTCCATTGGGATGCCCAAGTTGCCGATGCAAAAGCGCCACTGACTTGAGAACTTCAGGTCCCCCGATCTTCACCAGCTCTTTGTTCTGCTCCAGATACTGCATCTCCTCGTTGGAGTGTTCCACAAGCCCCAGTGTCATGAGCTCAGCTTGCCCCCGTCGCCTCCAGATTTCGGCCTCAGACTCATAGATTGCATCACCCAAGCGCCGAACCAAGTCAGGCTCATAGTTCTGCATCTCCTTGAGAACAGCTCCTCGGCCCATCATCTGTGTGTGACCGATGTCGCATTGGCATCTCAAGTTGGCTGCCACACAGACCTTCTTGGAAGTTGATCTGAACTTTGCCCAGAGCATCCTCGATTGAAAAATTTCAAGTGAACGATTGATTTTTTGAAATTTTCAAGTGGCGATTGAAAATTGAAATTTGAAGTTTTTTTCTGGTGAACGCATTTTTTCTCGATTGAATTTTCACTTGAAAAATATTTGTTTTTCTCTTGAAAAAAATCGATTGAAATTTGGATCTCAATTTGGTATACTTCTGGGCTGGTAATGTTTTGTGCATTTTGGGATGAACAGCCTCAACACTTACGGCTGGAAGGCCCCAGCTTTTGGCAACACTTTCTAGGCTGGATAGCCCAAATACTTTTTGGCTGGATAGACCCAACCTGTGGCAACACCTTTTGGGCTGGATAGCCCAAACACTTTTGGGCTGGATAGCCCAAACACTTTTGGGCTGGATAGCCCAAACACTTTTGGGCTGGATAGCCCCTACACCTTTGGCAGCACTTTCTGGGCTGGAAAGCCAGCTTCAAGAGCTGCACATGATGTACAATCTGTCCTGCAGGCATTTTCAGCATGTACAAGAAAAGGGGTGGAGCTAGGAGAACCCCAGTGCCAGAGATAGATGATGAGCACTTGCTAGATACTTGCTTGAGCCATGTGAGGAAGCTGGGTGAAACAGGTGCATTCGCCTTGGGGAAGTACTTGAAGACAGAGGTAACACATGCAGTGAGAGGAGCTGCCCTGGCAGATCTTCTGTACCTCTTGGAAGAGTCTCACAAGGTGAGCCCCGCCCTGAAGTCCTGCTTCACCCAGGTGCTGCAGCAGTTTCCTGGTATCGAAGAGAAGTGGCCAGTGTCAGAGCAAGGGGATGTAGCCAAAGCTTTGTCAGATGCTATCCTGGTTGTGTGCAACCATGCCAGAAGGATCAGCAGAGACAAGGGCAAGTTTGCAGAGGCATGCAAGAATCTGACTTCTTTCCAGGTGGAGAAGCTGGAGGCCATTAGAAACTTGGCGGACCAAAAGAAGGAAGAGACAAAGGATGAGCAGAAGCCAGGTGCCAAGTCTCCTGCTCCTGCTACACCAAAGAAGAGGAAACCACATAGCAAGGCAGCTAGCCCTGCTACACCCTTTTTGGTGATCGTTTAGTAGTTTACTACGTGCCCTTACCATCCACTACCTACAAAAATGAGTAGATGATGTACAGCCTTTAGGCACATGGCGGTATCCAGGAGGATTTTCCCAGGCCCCTTGGGAGGCCACTGTGTCACGGCAGGGCTGTGCAGTGCTATGGCTCAGCAAGTCCACCCTTTGTCAGCAAACCCAGCGTCAGGACATAAATCCACTGGGGATCTATCATTGACATCAAGGGGATGGGTATACAGAATCAAGAAATGAATCATTTTTTATTGGGAAATGAGAGGTTTACAACCAATATGATTGTTCAGTGGTTCCCAAACCCAGCTATCTCAGCCAAAAAAGTCACAGCCAGTGCCTCCCAGGAAGGCTAAGCTCAGAGAAGAGGTTGGAAAAAAGAAAGAGCTTAAGAGACCTGCTGCAGCCTTGCTGGAGAAGCCAGCCTCCAAGAACTAGGGCAACAAGAAGCATGAGAAGTTTGAGGATAGCTACAAGCTGAATTCCATGGACAAGCTCCTGCTGATGCCCTACAAGATGTTGGCTTCATGTGCTCTGAGGATCAAGAATGGGAGGCAAGTGATCCAGGTGGTGTCCCCACAAGGGGCTTGAAGAGTCCCAGAATCTGGCAGGACAAATGAAAAAGATGCTGGAAAGTGGCAAAAGCCTAGGTGAAGTCAGAGCTTGGAAAGAGATGAAGATAGCTGGCTGAAGCAGAGACAGAAGGGCATGGGAGAAAAAGACAGCATCTGCCTGTTGCAGCACCTCTTGGGCTGGATAGCCACAACACTTTTGGGCTGGAAAGCCCCAGCTTTTGGCAACACTTTCTACTGGATAGCCCCAACCTTTGGCAAGCACCTTTTGGGCTGGATAGCCTCAACCACTTGTGGGCTGGATAGCCCCAACCTTTGGCAAGCACCTTTTGGGTCTGGTGCGAGGAAAGGCACTCAAGAGTCAGGTCGCCCCTTCCTCTACCAAACCTACCAGAGTATGAACCCAGGAGGCTGCTGACCACTTGCACCCTTTGGGCTGGATAGCCCCAACACTTTTGGGCTGGATAGCCCCAACACCTTTGGGCTGGATAGCCCCAACACTTTTGGGCTGGATAGCCCTAAGACTTTTGGGCTGGATATCCCGAACACTTTTTGCATTTTTTCTGCACAAATGGCAAGTGATGAGTGGGTAGATTGGCCGGAGTGGCTCATGGAGGCTGCTGATGCAAGAATGAGAGCTGTCAAAGGTGCCCCTGCTGTGAAGGGAGGAGGCAAGGGAGGAAAAGCACCTGCTGAGACAGGAAAGGAAAAGGTGGAAGGGTACGAGGAGGGACAGGAGAAAGGAAAAGAGAAGGGGCAGGAGAAGGGACAGGAGAAAGGACAAGGGAAGGAAGAGGCTGCAGCACCTGCTGCAGCACCTGCAGCACCTGCAGCACCTCGTAGAGCAAGGTCTTGATTCGCCTTGTGGAAGGCGATGGCAGCTTTCTGCTTGGTCTCGAGAATGCGCGGCAAGTCCGCTTGATCGCCGAATGATTCTGGGCCAGGGTCATCCATGAATCTTGGTTCCTTTTCGGGGGGGGGGTGTCTTTGCTGGATAGCCCAAACACTTTTGGGCTGGATAGCCCCTACACCTTTGGCAGCACTTTCTGGGCTGGAAAGCCAGCTTCAAGAGCTGCACATGATGTACAATCTGTCCTGCAGGCATTTTCAGCATGTACAAGAAAAGGGGTGGAGCTAGGAGAACCCCAGTGCCAGAGATAGATGATGAGCACTTGCTAGATACTTGCTTGAGCCATGTGAGGAAGCTGGGTGAAACAGGTGCATTCGCCTTGGGGAAGTACTTGAAGACAGAGGTAACACATGCAGTGAGAGGAGCTGCCCTGGCAGATCTTCTGTACCTCTTGGAAGAGTTTCACAAGGTGAGCCCCGCCCTGAAGTCCTGCTTCACCCAGGTGCTGAGCCCCAGTTTGGAATTCAAATACTCCACCCTGAAGTCCTGCTTCACCCAGGTTCTGCAGCAGTTTCCTGGTATCGAAGAGAAGTGGCCAGTGTCAGAGCAAGGGGATGTAGCCAAAGCTTTGTCAGATGCTATCCTGGTTGTGTGCAACCATGCCAGAAGGATCAGCAGAGACAAGGGCAAGTTTGAAGAGGCATGCAAGAATCTGACTTCTTTCCAGGTGGAGAAGCTGGAGGCCATTAGAAACTTGGCGGACCAAAAGAAGGAAGAGACAAAGGATGAGCAGAAGCCAGGTGCCAAGTCTCCTGCTACACCAAAGAAGAGGAAACCACATAACAAGGCAGCTAGCCCTGCTACACCCTTTTTGGTGGTAGTTTAGTAGTTTACTACGTGCCCTTACCATCCACTACCTACAAAAATGAGTAGATGATGTACAGCCTTTAGGCACATGGCGGTATCCAGGAGGATTTTCCCAGGCCCCTTGGGAGGCCACTGTGTCACGGCAGGGCTGTGCAGTGCTATGGCTCAGCAAGTCCACCCTTTGTCAGCAAACCCAGCGTCAGGACATAAATCCACTGGGGATCTATCATTGACATCAAGGGGATGGGTATACAGAATCAAGAAATGAATCATTTTTTATTGGGAAATGAGAGGTTTACAACCAATATGATTGTTCAGTGGTTCCCAAACCCAGCTATCTCAGCCAAAAAAGTCACAGCCAGTGCCTCCCAGGAAGGCTAAGCTCAGAGAAGAGGTTGGAAAAAAGAAAGAGCTTAAGAGACCTGCTGCAGCCTTGCTGAAGAAGCCAGCCTCCAAGAACCAGGGCAACAAGAAGCATGAGAAGTTTGAGGATAGCTACAAGCTGAATTCCATGGACAAGCTCCTGCTGATGCCCTACAAGATGTTGGCTTCATGTGCTCTGAGGATCAAGAATGGGAGGCAAGTGATCCAGGTGGTGTCCCCACAAGGGCTTGAAGAGTCCCAGAATCTGGCAGGACAAATGAAAAAGATGCTGGAAAGTGGCAAAAGCCTAGGTGAAGTCAGAGCTTGGAAAGAGATGAAGATAGCTGGCTGAAGCAGAGACAGAAGGGCATGGGAGAAAAAACACAGCATCTGCCTGTTGCAGCACCTCTTGGGCTGGATAGTCCCAACACTTTTTGGGCTGGAAAGCCCCAGCTTTTGGCAACACTTTCTGGGCTGGATAGCCCAAACACTTTTGGGCTGGATAGCCCCAACCTTTGGCAAGCACCTTTTGGGCTGGATAGCCCCAACCACTTGTGGGCTGGATAGCCCCAACCTTTGGCAAGCACCTTTTGGGCTGGATAGCCCCAACCACGTGTGGGCTGGATAGCCCCAACCTTTGGCAAGCAGCTTTTGGGCTGGATAGCCCCAACCACTTGTGGGCTGGATAGCCCCAACCTTTGGCAAGCCCCTTTTGGGCTGGATAGCCCCAACACTTAAGTTTGCTGGGAAAAAGAACTTTTGTGCTCACATGCAGCACCCTGGCCCAAGAGGATAGCTGAGCCCACCGCCTGTAGCCATGTTTGTGGCAAGTGGGAAGGAAAAGCAGTCACATGGCAGAGACCCTGGAGGAGTGCCTACCAATGCATGGCGAGACATGATGAGGGTGCAGCAGGAGCTTTGGGCCCCTCAAATGGTGCCTGGACAGCATGTGGGTGAGTTTGAGAGTGTAACACACCCTTCCCACTTGAAGTAGGACAACCAATCCCTTGAATTGAAAGAACCCAGGTAAAACTTTTCAAACATGAAGGCACCATGCACCTCTCCCCCTGCTCAGACCTATGGCGAGTGGTTGGAGCAGCTGAGCTGGGAGGCCTCCTTGCAGTCTGGTGCGAGGAAAGGCACTCAAGAGTCAGGTCGCCCCTTCCTCTACCAAACCTACCAGAGTATGAAAAAGGAAAAGGCTGCTGACCACTTGCACCCTTTGGGCTGGATAGCCCCAACACTTTTGGGCTGGATAGCACCAGTTATAATAATTTTGAAATGGAAAGTGTTAATAGTTGTTTGGGCTGGATAGCCGATAGCCCCAACACTTTTGGGCAACACCTTTGGGCTGGATAGCCCCAACACTTTTCGGCTGGATAGCCCTAAGACTTTTGGGCTGGATATCCCGAACACTTTTTGCATTTTTTCTGCACAAATGGCAGGTGATGAGTGGGTAGATTGGCTGGAGTGGCTCATGGAGGCTGCTGATGCAAGAATGAGAGCTGTCAAAGGTGCCCCTGCTGTGAAGGGAGGAGGCAAGGGAGGAAAAGCACCTGCTGAGACAGGAAAGGAAAAGGTGGAAGGGTACGAGGAGGGACAGGAGAAAGGAAAAGAGAAGGGCCAGGAGAAGGGACAGGAGAAAGGACAAGGGAAGGAAGAGGCTGCAGCACCTGCTGCAGCACCTGCTGCAGCACCTGCAGCACCTCGTAGAGCAAGGTCTTGATTCGCCTTGTGGAAGGCGATGGCAGCTTTCTGCTTGGTCTCGAGAATGCGCGGCAAGTCCGCTTGATCGCCGAATGATTCTGGGCCAGGGTCATCCATGAATCTTGGTTCCTTTTCGGGGGGGGGGTGTCTTTGCTGGATAGCCCAAACACTTTTGGGCTGGATAGCCCCAACACCTTTGGGCTGGATAGCCCCAACACTTTTGGGCTGGACAGCCCTAAGACTTTTGGGCTGGATATCCCGAACACTTTTTGCATTTTTTCTGCGCAAATGGCAGGTGATGAGTGGGTAGATTGGCTGGAGTGGCTCATGGAGGCTGCTGATGCAAGAATGAGAGCTGTCAAAGGTGCCCCTGCTGTGAAGGGAGGAGGCAAGGGAGGAAAAGCACCTGCTGAGACAGGAAAGGAAAAGGTGGAAGGGTACGAGGAGGGACAGGAGAAAGGAAAAGAGAAGGGGCAGGAGAAGGGACAGGAGAAAGGACAAGGGAAGGAAGAGGCTGCAGCACCTGCCACAGCTGCAGCACCTGCAGCACCTGCAGCACCTCGTAGAGCAAGGTCTTGATTCGCCTTGTGGAAGGCGATGGCAGCTTTCTGCTTGGTCTCGAGAATGCGCGGCAAGTCCGCTTGATCGCCGAATGATTCTGGGCCAGGGTCATCCATGAATCTTGGTTCCTTTTCGGGAGGGGGGGGGTCTTGCTGGATAGCCCAAACACTTTTGGGCTGGATAGCCCCTACACCTTAGACCTTTGGCAGCACTTTCTGGGCTGGAAAGCCAGCTTCAAGAGCTGCACATGATGTACAATCTGTCCTGCAGGCATTTTCAGCATGTACAAGAAAAGGGGTGGAGCTAGGAGAACCCCAGTGCCAGAGATAGATGATGAGCACTTGCTAGATACTTGCTTGAGCCATGTGAGGAAGCTGGGTGAAACAGGTGCATTCGCCTTGGGGAAGTACTTGAAGACAGAGGTAACACATGCAGTGAGAGGAGCTGCCCTGGCAGATCTTCTGTACCTCTTGGAAGAGTTTCACAAGGTGAGCCCCGCCCTGAAGTCCTGCTTCACCCAGGTGCAGAGCCCCAGTTTGGAATTCAAATACTCCACCCTGAAGTCCTGCTTCACCCAGGTGCTGCAGCAGTTTCCTGGGATCGAAGAGAAGTGGCCAGTGTCAGAGCATGGGGATGTAGCCAAAGCTTTGTCAGATGCTATCCTGGTTGTGTGCAACCATGCCAGAAGGATCAGCAGAGACAAGGGCAAGTTTGAAGAGGCATGCAAGAATCTGACTTCTTTCCAGGTGGAGAAGCTGGAGGCCATTAGAAACTTGGCGGACCAAAAGACGGAAGAGACAAAGGATGAGCAGAAGCCAGGTGCCAAGTCTCCTGCTACACCAAAGAAGAGGAAACCACATAACAAGGCAGCTAGCTCTGCTACACCCTTTTTGGTGGTAGTTTAGTAGTTTACTACGTGCCCTTACCATCCACTACCTACAAAAATGAGTAGATGATGTACAGCCTTTAGGCACATGGCGGTATCCAGGAGGATTTTCCCAGGCCCCTTGGGAGGCCACTGTGTCACGGCAGGGCTGTGCAGTGCTATGGCTCAGCAAGTCCACCCTTTGTCAGCAAACCCAGCGTCAGGACATAAATCCACTGGGGATCTATCATTGACATCAAGGGGATGGGTATACAGAATCAAGAAATGAATCATTTTGTATGGGGAAATGAGAGGTTTACAACCAATATGATTGTTCAGTGGTTCCCAAACCCAGCTATCTCAGCCAAAAAAGTCACAGCCAGTGCCTCCCAGGAAGGCTAAGCTCAGAGAAGAGGTTGGAAAAAAGAAAGAGCTTAAGAGACCTGCTGCAGCCTTGCTGAAGAAGCCAGCCTCCAAGAACCAGGGCAACAAGAAGCACGAGAAGTTTGAGGATAGCTACAAGCTGAATTCCATGGACAAGCTCCTGCTGATGCCCTACAAGATGTTGGCTTCATGTGCCCTGAGGATCAAGAATGGGAGGCAAGTGACCCAGGTGGTGTCCCCACAAGGGCTTGAAGAGTCCCAGAATCTGGCAGGACAAATGAAAAAGATGCTGGAAAGTGGCAAAAGCCTAGGTGAAGTCAGAGCTTGGAAAGAGATGAAGATAGCTGGCTGAAGCAGAGACAGAAGGGCATGGGAGAAAAAGACAGCATCTGCCTGTTGCAGCACCTCTTGGGCTGGATAGCCCCAACACTTTTGGGCTGGAAAGCCACAGCTTTTGGCAACACTTTCTAGGCTGGATAGCCCCAACCACTTGTGGGCTGGATAGCCCCAACCTTTGGCAAGCACCTTTTGGGCTGGATAGCCCCAACCACTTGTGCTTGTGGGCTGGATAGCCCCAACCTTTGGCAAGCACCTTTTGGGCTGGATAGCCCCAACCACTTGTGGGCTGGATAGCCCCAACCTTTGGCAAGCAGCTTTTGGGCTGGATAGCCCCAAGCACTTGTGGGCTGGATAGCCCCAACCTTTGGCAAGCCCCTTTTGGGCTGGATGGCCCCAACACTTAAGTTTGCTGGGAAAAAGAACTTTTGTGCTCACATGCAGCACCCTGGCCCAAGAGGATAGCTGAGCCCACCGCCTGTAGCCATGTTTGTGGCAAGTGGGAAGGAAAAGCAGTCACATGGCAGAGACCCTGGAGGAGTGCCTACCAATGCATGGCGAGACATGATGGGGGTGCAGCAGGAGCTTTGGGCCACAGCTGCAGCACCTGCAGCACCTGCAGCACCTCGTAGAGCAAGGTCTTGATTCGCCTTGTGGAAGGCGATGGCAGCTTTCTGCTTGGTCTCGAGAATGATTCTGGGCCAGGGTCATCCATGAATCTTGGTTCCTTTTCGGGGGGGGGGGTCTTTGCTGGATAGCCCAAACACTTTTGGGCTGGATAGCCCCTACACCTTTGGCAGCACTTTCTGGGCTGGAAAGCCAGCTTCAAGAGTTGGACATGATGTACAATCTGTCCTGCAGGCATTTTCAGCATGTACAAGAAAAGGGGTGGAGCTAGGAGAACCCCAGTGCCAGAGATAGATGATGAGCACTTGCTAGATACTTGCTTGAGCCATGTGAGGAAGCTGGGTGAAACAGGTGCATTCGCCTTGGGGAAGTACTTGAAGACAGAGGTAACACATGCAGTGAGAGGAGCTGCCCTGGCAGATCTTCTGTACCTCTTGGAAGAGTTTCACAAGGTGAGCCCCACCCTGAAGTCCTGCTTCACCCAGGTGCTGAGCCCCAGTTTGGAATTCAAATACTCCACCCTGAAGTCCTGCTTCGCCCAGGTGCTGCAGCAGTTTCCTGGGATCGAAGAGAAGTGGCCAGTGTCAGAGCAAGGGGATGTAGCCAAAGCTTTGTCAGATGCTATCCTGGTTGTGTGCAAACATGCCAGAAGGATCAGCAGAGACAAGGGCAAGTTTGAAGAGGCATGCAAGAATCTGACTTCTTTCCAGGTGGAGAAGCTGGAGGCCATTAGAAACTTGGTGGACCAAAAGAAGGAAGAGACAAAGGATGAGCAGAAGCCAGGTGCCAAGTCTCCTGCTACACCAAAGAAGAGGAAACCACATAGCAAGGCAGCTAGCCCTGCTACACCCTTTTTGGTAGTGGTTTAGTAGTTTACTACGTGCCCTTACCATCCACTACCTACAAAAATGAGTAGATGATGTACAGCCTTTAGGCACATGGCGGTATCCAGGAGGATTTTCCCAGGCCCCTTGGGAGGCCACTGTGTCACGGCAGGGCTGTGCAGTGCTATGGCTCAGCAAGTCCGCCCTTTGTCAGCAAACCCAGCGTCAGGACATAAATCCACTGGGGATCTATCATTGACATCAAGGGGATTGGTATACAGAATCAAGAAATGAATCATTTTGTATGGGGAAATGAGAGGTTTACAACCAATATGATTGTTCAGTGGTTCCCAAACCCAGCTATCTCAGCCAAAAAAGTCACAGCCAGTGCCTCCCAGGAAGGCTAAGCTCAGAGAAGAGGTTGGAAAAAGGAAAGAGCTTAAAAGACCTGCTGCAGCCTTGCTGAAGAAGCCAGCCTCCAAGAACCAGGGCAACAAGAAGCATGAGAAGTTTGAGGATAGCTACAAGCTGAATTCCATGGACAAGCTCCTGCTGATGCCCTACAAGATGTTGGCTTCATGTGCTCTGAGGATCAAGAATGGGAGGCAAGTGATCCAGGTGGTGTCCCCACAAGGGCTTGAAGAGTCCCAGAATCTGGCAGGACAAATGAAAAAGATGCTGGAAAGTGGCAAAAGCCTAGGTGAAGTCAGAGCTTGGAAAGAGATGAAGATAGCTGGCTGAAGCAGAGACAGAAGGGCATGGGAGAAAAAACACAGCATCTGCCTGTTGCAGCACCTCTTGGGCTGGATAGTCCCAACACTTTTGGGCTGGAAAGCCCCAGCTTTTGGCAACACTTTCTAGGCTGGATAGCCCAAACACTTTTGGGCTGGATAGCCCCAACCTTTGGCAAGCACCTTTTGGGCTGGATAGCCCCAACCACTTGTGCTTGTGGGCTGGATAGCCCCAACCTTTGGCAAGCACCTTTTGGGCTGGATAGCCTCAACCACTTGTGGGCTGGATAGCCCCAACCTTTGGCAAGCACCTTTTGGGCTGGATAGCCCCAACCACTTGTGGGCTGGATAGCCCAAACCTTTGGCAAACACCTTTTGGCCTGGATAGCCCCAACCACTTGTGGGCTGGATAGCCCCAACCTTTGGCAAGCCCCTTTTGGGCTGGATAGCCCCAACAGTTAAGTTTGCTGAGAAAAAGAACTTTTGTGCTCACATGCAGCACCCTGGCCCAAGAGGATAGCTGAGCCCACCGCCTGTAGCCATGTTTGTGGCAAGTGGGAAGGAAAAGCAGTCACATGGCAGAGACCCTGGAGGAGTGCCTACCAATGCATGGCGAGACATGATGAGGGTGCAGCAGGAGCTTTGGGCCCCTCACATGGTGCCTGGACAGCATGTGGGTGAGTTTGAGAGTGTAACACACCCTTCCCACTTGAAGTAGGACAACCAATCCCTTGAATTGAAAGAACCCCAGGTAAAACTTTTCAAACATGAAGGCACCGTGCACCTCTCTCCCTGCTCAGACCCATGGCGAGTGGTTGGAGCAGCTGAGCTGGGAGGCCTCGTTGCAGTCTGGTGAGAGGAAAGGCACTCAAGAGTCAGGTCGCTCCTTCCTCTACCAAACCTACCAGAGTATGAACCCAGGAGGCTGCTGATCACTTGCACCTTTTGGGCTGGATAGCCCCAACACTTTTCGTTTGGGTAGCGAAATGGAAAGTGTTGATAGTTGTTTGGGCTGGATAGCCCCAACACTTTTGGGCTGGATAGCCCCAACACCTTTGGGCTGGATAGCCCCAACACTTTTGGGCTGGATAGCCCTAAGACTTTTGGGCTGGGTATCCCGAACACTTTTTGCACTTTTTCTGCACAAATGGCAGGTGATGAGTGGGTAGATTGGCTGGAGTGGCTCATGGAGGCTGCTGATGCAAGAATGAGAGCTGTCAAAGGTGCCCCTGCCGTGAAGGGAGGAGGCAAGGGAGGAAAAGCACCTGCTGAGACAGGAAAGGGAAAGGTGGAAGGGTACGAGAAGGGGCAGGAGAAAGGAAAAGAGAAGGGGCAGGAGAAGGGACAGGAGAAAGGACAAGGGAAGGAAGAGGCTGCAGCACCTGCCACAGCTGCAGCACCTGCAGCACCTGCCAGAGAAGATGCAGCTGCCCCTGGCAAGGGAAAGCTTGAGGAAGGAGCAGCACTGGCGATAGGAGAAGGGTTCTGAGGAAGGAGGAGGAGCGTCCCCTGCCAAGGGAAAGGAGAAGGGCTCTGGGGAAGGAGGAGAAGGAACCCCTGGCAAGGGAAAGGAGAAAGGTTCTGGAGAAGGACAAGGAGGAGGAAATGATGGAGGAGGAAATGATGGAACCACTCAGTGACATCAGCCTGGACTTCAACAACATGGGAGCCCAGGGCAGAGTGGGCTGGAAGGTGGAATCAAGGAGGACAGAGATGGAGTCAGCTGATTTTGGGTTGGTATTAAAGAAGTTTATTTTTGGGATGTTATAATTTTCATAGATGATAATATCTGTTTCCAGATCCAAAAGGGAGATGCAGCCAAATCAGCCCAGGAGTCCGGGACAGCTACCACCATTCCAGTGGGGAGCCATGGGGTTGTGGATGGAAGTAGAGAAGCTTGACACAGATTTTGTGATGATAGGGTGCTACTTGGCTGCATGAAAATTTAAAGAGCCCAATTAGGGCTGGACCAATGGCATTGTTTATGGGTTGAGAGGGCGAGGTAAGGTGGCAGATCTGATTAGGACCACCATGCAAATGAGTATGAGCTCCTGAGTCTCATGGAGGAGTGGCTCGGCTGAAATCAGATCTGCTGCCCTGGCACAGACTAGCTGGGCTGGGGGACATCCATAAGCCCTGAGGAAAATATGTTCAACACATACAATGTTTTTAGTTTTTTAGGCCAGCCAGCTAGGCGAGGTGGCTCAATGGGCCAGTGCACATTAGTTTTTCAATGGCCACTGTAGGGGCCAAGACTGCACAGGTGGCTCTGCCACAAAAACCGATGTATCCAAGCAGGAGTGCTGGAAAAAGGCTGCTCAGAACTGGGTGGGACTGGATGGGACTTGGTGGGCTGGAGAGCCCATAGATCAACGGCAGAATCTGGGCTGGATAGCCCCAAAAAAATGTAGGAGAAACCAAATCAAATAACTTGAGAACTTGGGCTGGAAAGCCCCAAAAGCTTTAAGACAAACCAAATCAAATAAATCTGGGCTGGATAGCCCCAAAAGTGTTTAAAGGAAACCAAATCAATAACTTGAGATCCTGGGCTGGATAGCCCCAAATAATTGGATGAAAAAACAAATCAAAACCACTTGAGAACCTGGGCTGGACAGCCCAAAATGTTTGTCAAAGAAACCACATCAAATTACTTGAGAACTTTGGCTGGAAAGCCCCACTGTATTTGAGAATCACTTCATGTTTTCATTAGCCTCAAGGTTGTTCAATTGGATTTCAATCCTCACACTGGGCTGGATAGCCCTGAGAGTCGTAAGAGTTTCTCAAGGTTTTGGGCGGAGTCGGTATGGAAAAACTTGGTTAGATATGCCAAAAAC